ACCAAACTGTCTGGTTCAGTACTGGACACCTGGCAACCCTGGGCTGGAGCAGCCCTCTGCCTGTGACAGGCGGAGAGCTGCCCCAGACCCCACTAGTTAACTGGAACCAGTAATCCTCACACATTAGGGTGAGGCTTACTGGTTAACCAGTTAGCCATTCACATCCCTGTTAGTAACCATCTATGTTCCATCTATTGTTTGCTCCAAAGATGTTCATCTGCTTCTAGGTAAAGTAGAAAGTCACTATGTAACCCTCCCTCTCTGAACCTCTATTTGATGTACATGTTTTGTTAGTCTTTAAGGTGCTACTAGACTATTTGTTGTTTTATAAGTTTTTTCTGATCACTGTTCAAGCTAATCATTTTGATTGTTCTGGATTTTGTAATTCATTCTGGTAGTCACTACTTTTGTTTCCCTCTTATCATTTAATTCCTACTAAGTCCAAACTATTTTATATTAGGACACACTCCATAATGGAAAGATCATTTGTATGTTATTGGGTTTATTGATAGACATCATACAGGAAAAGGAAATACAATAAAAAGCAGAAAAGAAACAGTTAACATTTAAGAAATGCATGCAGTTTTAGAAGCAAGTACAGCATTGCCAATTTCAATAACTAGCATAATAATATTTCAGGAAATTAGGTCATTTTATTGATTCCATCTTACAAAAATATTTATGTTCAAAGAAACAATATTTGCTTATTTCAGTTGAAGCACAGTACTATTTAGAACTAGGATAACAATGAGAGAAAAATAAAACAATCCTTTCAAGAGGATTGATTGTAATTCTGGCCATGGTTTAAATAGAGGGGCAGCTAGCGATTTTTTTAATACACTACTATTATAGAGCTGTCTACACTGTAAAAGTTGTTGCAGTGTAGCTGCATTGTTGAAATGCTTCAGTGAAGATGCTACCTACACCGATGGAAGAGGCACTAGCTATGTCAACAGGAGAAGCTGTCCCACCAATGTAGGTAATCCACTCACACTTTCTACACTGGGAGTCAGATCAGTATAACTCCATTGCTTAGAGATATGGATTTTTCATACCCCTTAGTGACATAGTTATATCAACATAAGTTGTTAGTGTTGACCAAACCTTAATGTTTATCGTGGATAAAGAAAACAGGTCAGCCCTCTTCTTCTAAGACCATGTCTACAATTGCACAGCATTTAGTGGCAAGTCTGTGTCAACATAGCCCTGTCGCTATGTTAGCACATACAAATGCTGTTTGTAGGCACTTTTGCTGACAAAATACTTCTAGCCCCCATGAGCAGCTTTTGCTTTTTCGGCAAGAGACTGCTCCTGCCAATAAAGCAACATTTATGCTTGCACTTGCTGCAGCAAAACAGCTATGGTGTTCCCTTTCTTATATCTAGTAGGTCCCTAGGTGTCCCTAGTAGGTCCCTTTAACATAAATAGACTCCTCAGTGGTATCAGGTTTCAGATGAGCAAGAAGAAGCTCTTCCATAATCTTAACTAGGGAAGCCAATTCAAATTCTCATCTACTTCTTCAGTATTTCATGACTTATTTCCACCAAGCGTTAAGGCTCCTTTTTATTTTTAAGGATCTTGTAAGTTTTGGTGTACCTCCTGCAAAGCTTAGTCTCAGCCTCTGTGTGGTTGAAACCATTCTCAGCACCCTAATGTGAGAGTCCAAGATTTCTAATTTCCCTGATATTTAGGCCACTTTGTCTTCCACAGAGGATGAAGATTTTTGTAGGATATTCAGAGAGAAAATAATTTCTTTCAGAAAGTCCATCTTTATCTACTACACCATCTATGGTGCTCCAAAGCAGTCTAGAAGAGGGGAACTTAAATAAGTCAACGCAGTCAAGCTTAGTCTTATTTTCACTTCCAACTTCTCTTACCCATTTGCAAGTGGTAGACAAATTGTGTGCCCCCTCTCCAAGGAGGCAAATTACTAAGGTTTGCAGAAAAAAACAGGAGAATTCTGCTACCTTGTAGCCAAAGCATTTATGTAATTCCAGTGATTGCCAGTCCTCTCCCCACATAGAGCTATGGTTCCCCAAATAATAAATATCATGACTTAAGCATTTCTCTCTGCTGGTTGATTTGTGTGAAGGAAGACCCTGGGGCACAGCAGATGGACAACTAAATGTCTTGCTTCTGGTTCTTTGAGCCTTTCTCTTTCACACTGAGTGGCACAGGCTCTTGTGGGAAGGAGGGAGAAAATGGTGCTTTCACACACACACATTCTCAGTGACTGTTCTTCTCTGAGGCAATCCTGGTATTTCCCAGGTCTGCTGTTTCCTTCTGCACTTCAGAGTTACTGGCCCAATCCTTTCCTCTCATTGAACTTTGAGTCCAAAGAGAGAGAAGGCATGAAACTGTTTCTTCCTCTCTTGGTAATATCACTGTAAAAATAATGCTTCCCTCTTAGGAGATTTTACTGGAATGTCAGGGCAATAATAACTGAATCCAATATAGGATTTGGAGACGTGGTTGCTGGTTGTCCCTGGTGGAAAGATTTTATCAGAATAGTTAATGCTGATTTGTATCACTCAGCCACACTGAGGTTATACAAAGAGTAGCAAATCCCCAGAAGCATAACAGTCAGTCTGCTCCTAACCTCAGCCTTTATCTCTCACAGCCAGCTTCCTCCCCTCACCGCAAGCACCGCATGCTGCTTTTCACTGAAGCAACACTCAGGAACTGAGGTCTGCCCACTCAAAGTGCACAGACAGGAGGGGAGGGGGACAGGGACACGTGATCACTGTGCAGAATGGGGGCAGGAAAATATGGGGTGAAGGTCTTGTGAACCAATTCCAATCTACTTTATGCTGGGGTTTGTGGATTCTAGGGAAAGCTAAAACAGGGTTTCTGTCTGTAATTTCTTTGTCTTGGGGCGTTATAGTATTTTTTGAATGGTAGAGAGATTATACCAGATGAAATATGAGGAACAAGTTGGGGTGAGGAAGTATTTGCAGCTTTCTCAGCTTGTCTGAAGGCACCCATGACCCAAAGGAATATTCCCATCTGCTGGAAAGACACGCATCCATAGTTTATGGAGGCTGGGAGAGAGCTCCTGTAAGAATCCTTTACCATGAGTTCACATCATCCCCTTTCCTCAGATTTCTTATGAGAAGTCTGTTGGAAGTGTACAGTGAGGTAAGGAAACTCAGATGCTTCCCTCTTTGGCTTCCCACAAAGGATCCTCTAAGGGAGAGTATCTGGGGCTGTTGGAGTTTATAGGAGAGTAAGGCTCTCCCATGCACACCGACGGTGTGGGGCAACTGTCCCAGCCCCCAGATATTTAAAAGGTTCCATAGTTCCTGGCTGCCACTGCCACTTCTGCAACCATGGTGGCAGCCAGAACTCAAGGCCATTTAAATCACTGATAGAGCACTGTGCTCTGGACAGCACTGAAGGTTGCCTGGGGGAGAAGCAGTACTCTCCGGTCAGTACTGAACGCTGCCTAGCCTCAGCCTCGCCCTTTCCGGAGCTGTGGAGCAGTCCCTCCCCCACACCTTGAGCAGGGGCCCAGTGAGGCTGTCAGCCCCACTGTGCATTCCAATACTATGGATTCCCAAGCCTATGTGCCTTGAATAAACATAAAACAGATGTAGGTAATACAAAATCTAAAGCTCAGGAGGAGGTTGCTTACTGGGATAAGGATTAGGGCTTTTGCTTTATATACTATGCAAACTATTGCTTTATGTTGACATATACTATAATAGTAGTACTAGTGCTTGAATATAGGAGGGTAGAAAGTCTCTCATCCGGAAACATCAGAGCCAGAATAGTACAGAGAACAATACAGTAGCTGCATTTTGCATTTCTGGTGATCCTTCAGATTAAGGGAGTAGGTGGAAATGATATATCCTTTGTTTAATTAATAGGAAACCACGGAAAATATCATTTTTGATACTTCTTCCCCACCCTATCCCACCCCACCCCATTAGAAGTGGGTTGAATCTTGGCCTGACTGGTTGGTCCTGTCTCTATAAAAGTGGCCTATTCAGGGTAGGACTCGTGACTGTTGTCACTCTTACTAATTACTAACAAAAATATAGAGACTAGCATTGCTTATTTGTTGTAAAGCAGACCAAGGAGACATGGTCACTGGAGTCTGGTTCATAAAATAATAAGCTGTTTACATAAACCATATAGGGTAGGCAGAGAAACACACCGAGACAGCTGCACAAACCAACAGCTGTGACACGCACAGGAAACTTAGATGGAAAGAACCATTAGTGCATTGAGACCATCTCCCTGTTTGTTAGCAGGGCCAACTCCCTCTTAGCAAGCTCTTCAAAAGAGACTCCTCTCTTGAATGCTTTGATTCTTGTGCTCCCCAAATGCCCTATAAGGGAAGAAACCTCTCTGGATCTCATTATTAGAAATCTGAACTTCTGCACCTCCTGTAATAGAGCTGGGTTCACAGGCAGAGAAATGTATGTGATCTAGATTACACATAGTTAGCAATACTTTGCTGTGTTTGCAAGAAATGTTTTAACTTCCTGGGTTTGTTGGACCTATGTCACCCAGAACAATGGCTTGCTCTAATGAGACCTTCTTCATAACACTACAGCAGCTTCAGCTACCATCCCAGATTGTCTCTTCATGAATAGAGCTCCTTTCTAGGCTCTCGAATTTGAGTCCTGCTTTATGGTCCATTTTTAATTTCTCACAATATCTTGAAATGGGAGTAGATCATGGGTCTGAGAAAAACAATCCCAAATTTTAGATGTTGTATTGCTGGCCAACACCTGGGTCATCTTGACCTCAAAATGTCCCTGATGATGCAAATCCATTGCAAATCAGTTACAAGGACATGATCCAAAATGTGGGCTGCCCTGTATGTGACTGGGAAAAGCTCATGGCCATGTGGTGTCCAAAATTTTCTGGCAAAAAACAGGAACATTTAATTTGTTAAACTGCAAACTATAAAGATACTTGATGGAAATCTTTAAAGAGTTATGATGGACATTAGAGATAATCTTTGACAAATATGCTACAGTAAAACCTACCTTAGTGACTGCCTCTGAAAAGAGACCAGCTGTTGCGAGCGACTACTTGCAGAGGCCACGGCATGTTTTTCCCCTATAATGTAACTGTGAAGAGCGATGACCTGTCATCTGCAACCAGAAACCACATTTTCTTACTCCCATGTACAAATACAAACATGTAGGAGAAACTGATCTTCCTTATTTCTGAGCTGCTGCTAGTGGCAGCCCTGGCTTCAGAGCCGTGTGCACAGCCAGTAGCTCCTGCTCTCTGGTCACCCAGCTCTGAAAGCAGCACAGAAGTAAGGATGACAACATCACAGACCCCCTACAGTAAGCTTGCAATTCTTTTTTAGGTCAGACCACTTGGGCGGTCGATGACTCTAGGGCTGTGGGGAGGCAAGACCCAGACCCACCCTGTCCCTGCCAATCAGGGCCACCATGGAAGCCAAGACCCCCACCCCCACTGTGGTGCTAGGCCATCCTCTCCCAGTGAGAGGCATACAGCTCCAGCTTTCCCCCCACAACACAGGAAGGATGGGCAGCATGCAACCCCAGCCTTCCCTGGCCTGGGGAGCATGGGAAGGGGGGTGACACCTGGACATAACTTTCCCCAGCCCCAGGATGGATAGCGGTATGAAACCCTAGCAACCCCAGGAGACTGAGGGAGCTATGCTGAATGGTGGAGACCAGGGATGCAATAGTTTAAATGCTTAAACAGTTAACTGATGAGCCTAGACTAATCGGTTAGCCACAGTTACACACAAGCCCCCCCCCACACACACACACACAGCTGCTGCTTCTGTATCAGAAGCAGCAGAGTAGGGGATGGCAGGTGGGAGCTGGTGCTTGCGGAGAGCCAGCTTTTAAGCAGGCTCCCCATGAGCACCAGATCCTGGGGAGCTGCCTGGCCCTCCCCATGCTGCTGCCTCTGATACAGAGACAGCAGCATGGAGGGGGAGCTGGAGGGAGCCAATACCAGCTCCCCGTGTGTAACGACTCCCATAGAGCCGACTGCCTCCCTTGTCCCTGTGCTGCTGCCTCTCAGCAGCACAGGGATAGGGACAGATGACTCTGTAGGAGCCAGTACCTTAAAAGCTAGCTCCCTGTGAGCATTGGCTCCCACCTGTCCACTTTGCACTGCTGCCTCTGATACACAGGTAACAGTGCAGGGGATGTAGGGGTGGAGGTGGGTCTGTGCAAGCACCAGCTCCCTGTGTGTAAATGTGTAACTGCTGCATTGCCTTCCCCTGCTTCTGACACCTGCCGCCCTTGTCAGTCCCTCAGTTTGATAAATGCTGTATGCTTTTGTGTAGTGCACTACTGTATTAATAAACCCACCAAGGGATTTTAAATATAAATCAGTACTGTACTGTACACTGTATGTAATGTTCATTTAAAAGGCCATTAAAATTAAACATGAAACATCTATAAGAAGGGAAATCTTTCTGTACATTATAATCGTGCCCATGCTACAGCAAACCTTTGAGGAGAGACCATCTATTACAAGCAACCGCTTTTGCTAACTCCCATGAGCGATCATTGCTGGCAGGTTTTACTGTATTTATTATCTTGTGTTGTTCTTAAGACCATTCTCCTCCCTCTTAAGCTTATTCATTTGCCAAGTGCAGAGAACAATGTGTCTCCAGCTCAACTCCCACAGCAACCCAGGTGGGAGGCAGGAAGCTATAAATAACTTCTCCCCGACACACAGACTGATCTGCTGCCTCCAGCGAAACCACTTTCCTAAACAAAATCACCCCAACCATTTTGCTCTGCCTTCTCCTTCTTTGCAATAAGCCCACTCTAATGTGCTAGTCTCCCCACTCCTACTTGGTAGAAATACTGCTCTACCCTACATCCTAACTGCTAGCATCTCTTCCTTTCCATCCTGCCATGCTATCTCTGTGGAGCAGTTTCCCAACTGCACACATTCTGGAAAGCTAGGTTTTTGTAAAAGGAAATAAAATTGCAAATGTTAATATAGAAGAGAAAGGTCCGATGGATAGGGCCTTGGAGTCAAGAAACGTCAGTCCTACTCCTGATTCTTCCATGGACTTGCTGTATGACCTTGATCAAGTTACTTACTCTTACTGTAACTTGGTTCCCCATTTGTAACATGGGGATAATTAGGCTGACCATATTTATATGGGACACCTGGTAAAATTACATATATTCAAGCAAGTTCAATTACAGTCAATCAGAACTACGCCATCCAAATGCTCAAATTAACATCAAGTTGACTGAGCCCCTGTTAAAAAGAAATCCTTTGTAGTTTGACTTTTTTATTTACTTGCTTTAATATTTTCGGGTTCACACAGGAAGAGGTGACACACACACCCCTCTCTCCCCCACACAAAAGGGGTGAAGTGACACATATGAGGTGTGACCAACCACCCAACCCTCTCTGCCTAGCTGAATCCCTGGGATGGATCCTCCTTTTCTGGTGCCTGGTGTCACATCTCCCTGAGATAATAAGTAGTAGGGACATGCACGATCACATGTCCCTCCCTCTCCAATTTCTGCCAGAGTTCACACCAGAATGTGGCCAGCGACCTTTCAGTGCTCTGTGTGGGAGAGAAAGCACAGGAGATACTTCCAGTTGCAGGAGAGGAGGGAGAAGGGTAGGGATGACCTGTCCTGTGTCTTTGAAGAACTCATCTCTTCCCCCCTCCTCACCCTTGTGGCTGGAAGCAATTTGTTCCTTCCTGTCTTCACATTGTAGAAAGGCAGCTAACATTTCCAGGCTGCTGCTGGCCACTGAAATGACCCCTACCTACAGCATGGGTAGGAAGAGGTTAAGCCCTAAGACAGCACTGTGCATCAGGGTTTAGGGAATATGACAGCAGGGGCTTCAGTGAATGGGGCCATAGTGGTGGCTCAGCACCAGAGGGTGCGTAAAGGGCGGAGCAGTCCTGCAATTCCTGAGAACAGATCCCAGGGCAGGGGCTGTGGGGTGAATAGGGTACTAAGCTTCTGCCCCAGGGGCTGCTGTGAAGCTTGCAGGTCCAGGGTGTGAACAGGCTGGAAATCAACCCCCCAGCCACTCCAGAGCTTAGCTGAGGAACAGAGAGGCTTCCCTGTGCCAGTGTTGTGTGGGGCTTTGGCACATGCAGGACTTGGCTCCTCCTGGCCAGTGCCCTGGACTGGAGAGTCTTGTGCTTTCCTGGGGCACCATCCTAGCCAGAGGCAGTGAAGGAAGGAAGGAGGCTGCCAGCCAGGCTATTGGTGAACTGAGTGCTCCTAACAGGGACTAGTTCTCCACACTGCTCTGGGAGTGGGACATATTCTGCTGGGGAGTGGGAGTTGGAAGAGCAGGGGGGTCAGGGGATGAAGAGGCAAGGAAGGGAGAGGACGGTGAGAGGCAGAGGACATAAAGGGCTGATGGGTGGGCAGCAGAGATGACACATAACCAGCTGCTGCCTGGCACCTATCTGCAATCACTAGCCACTGCAGCTTGCAGTGCTCAGTCACTGCCAGCCAGAAATGAGCCTGGGGCCTGCCTTCTACTAGCCAATAGCCAGCATGCAGCAGATGCTACACTGACAGACCAACAGGTGAAGTTGTCATCTCTGCACTGCATCTTTGCCCCACCACCAGCCTTGCATATTCACTCTCATTGTTGGCTGCTGGATGCCCCCTCATATCTTCCCACACACTCACCACTGCTAGGCAGGCAACTGGCAAGCAGGCATCTGGCCAGCAGCAGGACTCATCAGCACTGATAAGCAGGGGGACAGAAAATATGGGACAATTTGCCCATTTTTAAGAAAAAGTCAAAACACCTGCAGGAGGGCTTAAATACAGGACTGTCCCTTTAAAAATGGGACATCTGATCACCTTAGGGATAATGCAGCTTTCAAAGAAAGATAAAATGATGTGAGATCTATGTATAAAACATTTGTATAAATACTAAGCAGTATTATCACAAAGAAAAATGTCAAGTTTGAAAGTATGATTCAATGGAACACTAATTTTATTCCCAGTTTTAGAATGCGTCTATATTGCACCATTATCTCGAAACAAGCTACGCAATTTGAGCTATGTTTATTTTGAGTTAATTTCAAAATAGCATATTTCAAAATTTGACACTATCTACACAGCACCAAATTTCAAAATAGAGCACTATTTCAAAATGTCCCTTAATCCTTTTGGAACGAGGTTTACAGGTACATCGGAATAGCACACCCGTTACTTCAAAAGCTGTTTTGAAATAAGGGGCATGTGATGGGGCACTCTGGCCCTGCACCCAATCCGTGGGCGCCAGCGCAACATGGCGTGAGCTGGCCGGTGAAGTGATGCTCCATCCCCGCGCTGCAGACGCCAGTGGGGCACAGTGTGGGCCGGCCAGCGAGGTCGAGGTTTACAGGTACATCGGAATAGCACACCCGTTACTTCAAAAGCTGTTTTGAAATAAGGGGCATGTGATGGGGCACTCTGGCCCTGCACCCAATCCGTGGGCGCCAGCGCAACATGGCGTGAGCTGGCCGGTGAAGTGATGCTCCATCCCCGCGCTGCAGACGCCAGTGGGGCACAGTGTGGGCCGGCCAGCGAGGTGGTGGTCCGTTCCCAAGCCAAGCTCCCCCCCCCCCCCCGCCCGGTGCTGCTGCGCATGCTCCCTCCAAGTGCCAGGAGCCTTCCTCCCCAGCACTTTGGGAGGAGAGGGGGGCGGCCGCGGTGAGCAAAGCGGCGCCCTGCCGAGAAAAGGAGAGCCTACAGGTGGAGACGGAGCAAGAGGCAGTTCAGCCTCTGTCCCACTGGAGGAACCTGAGACCAGAGACTCAGAGGAGCTTCTGTCAAGGGGAGGACCCAGGATCAATGCCCCCCTTTCCCTGAGGTCGCCACGGGTCTGGAGGACCAACAAGGTGAGGAGGGGGTCGCCAGTGGAAGGCACTGAATGGGAAACATAGCATGGGTAGGAATTGGGCCAGGACAGGGTGGCAAAAACCCGAGAGGTTGATGGGTTTTAGTATCGTGACCCCCATCAGCCAGGTGGAGGCAGGTTTCCTCTCTTTAGGGCCCTGGGCCAGGACCCGGGAGTGTGAGTGGGCCCAGGTCCCTCTACCCCCACCTAGAGTGAAGAGTGAAAGCCCCTTCCCCCAGCAACAGGGCTGGGACAACTGAGACTTGAACCTATGGGGTTACTTAGACTATACTAATGTAGTGGGACCGAACTGTGGACACTGGGTGTTGACCCAGAGGACTCAAGGGTAAAGGGTTGTTGTGACGCCCACATGGGAGGCGACCCCCGGCAGAGCCATTGGTTGCCCAGGGCAAGGTGGGAATCCCATGAGCGGGGCTAGAATAATACAGGAGTTGGCCCCGAAGGGAGGGTCTTGTCTCAAGGTGGTATGACCCAAGGGGCGACCTCCTGACAGGGTGCACCATCAAAACGTGGAAAACGCTATTTCGAGGTACCAGAAGTATCCTGAAATAGGACTTCTGTCTAGACGCACTCTTAGGGTATGTCTACACTACAAAGTTAATTCGAACTAACAGCCGTTAGTTCCAATTAACTTTCATAGGCGCTACACAGGCAAACCACTAGTTCGAACTTAATTCGAACTAGCGGAGCGCTTAATTCGAACTAGGTAAACCTCATTCTACGAGGACTAACGCCTAGTTCGAATTAAGTAGTTCAAATTAAGGGCTGTGTAGCCACTTAATTCAAACTAGTGGGAGGCTAGCCCTCCCCAGCATGCCCTGGTGGCCACTCTGGGCACCACCAGGGAAACTCGTCTGCCCCCCTCCCGGCCCCGGAGCCCTTAAAGGGGCACGGTATGGCTACGGTGCCCGTGCCAGTTGCAAGCCTGCAGCACCCAGCCAGCAGACCCTGCACCTGGCACGGCACGAGCCAGCCACCCGCTGCCACCCAGCCCTCGGCCTCTTCCTGGGACCAGACTGGCGGCTCCCGCCTGGGGCCGCAAGAGGCGGGCTCCCGCCTGGCCTAGTGCGGACATCGTGGACCTCATCGAGGTTTGGGGGGAAGCCTCCAACGTCCATGACCTCCGCACTAGGCACAGGAAAGTGGCCGTCTAGGACAGGATAGCTGCTAGCCTGGCCACCCAGGAGCAGGTTTGCATGAAAATCAAGGTGGTCCAGTGAGACCCCGGCCCTGAACCCTGAGCTTAGAACATAAAAACATAAGAATGGCCATACTGAGTCAGACCAAAGGTCCATCTAGCCCAGTAGGCTGTCTGCCGACAGTGGCCAACACTAGGTACCCTGGAGGGGATGGACTGAAGACAATGACCAAGCCATTTGTCTTGTGCCATCCATCTCCAGCCTTCCACAAACAGAGGCCAGGGACACCATTTCTACCCCCTGGCTAATACCACTCCATGGACCCAACCGCCATGAATTTATCTAACTTCTCTTTAAACTCTGTTCTAGTTCTAGCCTTCACAGGCTCCTGCAGCAAGGAGTTCCACAGGTTGACTATTTGCTTTGTGAAGAACTTTCTTTTATTAGCCTGGCCATGCCCGGCTCTCCCCCCATTCCCTTCCCTCGTAGGTTTGCCAGATGGTTTCAGAAAAAATACAAATGAAAAAAAAAGGATCCCAAGAGTTGTTAAGCAAAAAAAACAAAAACAGCGTGGCCCCTTTAAGAAACGTGGCCCTAATAGGGTTGCCAGGTGTCCAGTATTGACTCAGACAGTCCGCTATTTTCACCTCCTGTCCAGTAAAAAAAATTCAGAAAATACCGGACACCTAAAATGTCCAATATTTTCTGTTTTTTCCCTGCCAGGAGGCGAAAATACCGGACACCTGGCAACCCTACAACACACTCAGCAATCGGGCCCAGCCCTCGGACCCTCCACCAGGCCCCCCCAGACATTCCCCACCCCCGCTTACCTGGTTCTGCAGGGTCTTGTCTTGTGACTGGAACAAAACCAAAATGGCCACCAGCAAAAAAAATTTCTTCTTAAAGGGGCCATGCTGATTTTTTATTTTTTTATTTGTTTTTCTTAATAACTGCTGTCGGGGGTGTTCGGTATTTTTGGTTAAACCATCTGACAACCCTAGGTCCTAACAGGCTGCCAGCAGCTGCCCACCATCTTGCCTTCCTGCACGGAGCTGGACAGCTCCCCTGCGGAACCCAGTAAGCACTTGGGTTGCCAGGCTGCCTCCATATTAAGCTGGACAGCCCAGGATTTTTGCCTCCTGGCTGGGAAAAAATCAGAAAGTACCGGATATTCTAGGTGTCCGGTATTTTCTTAATTTTTTTTACTGGATAGGAGGTGAAAATACCGAACTGTCCAGTTCAATACCGGCCACCTGGCAACCCTATTCCCTGGCCACCAGGGGGTTGGGCTGGACGCGGCTCCCAGACTCCCCTCATTCCCGCAACGGGGAAGGGGCATGACTCATGGACCACTCCTCTCCCCCATGAGGGGCCAGGGGCCTGGTTCCAGCCCACCCCTTGGAGCTCTGGGGAGACCAGGAAGACGACGTGGCTCCCACCTTGCCATCCCCTGGAGCTCTGAGGAGATCTGTAAGGCCATGTGGCTGCTGCCCAATTGCTATCACCTCCAGGGAGGCCGGGGTCCTCAGCACAGGTAAGGGAGGGGAAGAGAGGAGGCAGGGAGGCTGAAGGGGGAGGGGCTGCGGGACACAGTGACGTGATGATGTTACTGTCATCCTGCAGGAGACTTTTATATATGTATAGAGAGAGAGAGAGATTACCCCGTTCTTCTCTATGTCTCTCTGGTTCTCTCGTCCCCTTGCCATGATCCAGCCTATTCCCCTGCATACACTCTATGTGCCCCCATTCTTCCATCACTTCTTAACCCCTGCCTCCAGTTCTGTTCTCCTGCCTCTTTTCATGACCTCCTCTTTATCTCTGGGACTCTCTTTTACACCCTTCCTGTCTCTCTTCTGCCCTTTTATCTTCCCCACTGCCTTTCATACCTTTCTGTTCCTTGCTGCCTTTTCTATGCAACACTCTGTCTTCCCTAGTACCTCCAGACTTACTGTGTTAGGGATCCATGCCATGATTTAATCCAATGTACAAGCTCAAGACTGAAGCATGGTATCACTGGGCACTAGGGCTGTCAGATGATTAAAAAATCGTTCACAATTAATTGCACTGTTAAATAATAATAGAATGCCATTTATTTAAATATTTTGGATGTTTTCTATATTTTCAAAGATATTGATTTCAACTATTACACAGAATACAAAGTGTACAATGCTCACTTTGTACTTATTTTATTATAAATATTTGAACTATTAAAAGACAAAAGAAATAGTATTTTTCAATTCATCTAATACGAGTACTATATTGCAATCTCTTTATTGTGAAAGTCGAACTTGCAAATGTAGAATTATGTACAAAAAGCAATATAAACTTTAGAGCCAACATGTCCACTCAGACCTATTTTTTGTTCATCCAATTGCTTGGACAAACAAGTTTGTTTATATTTGCAGGAGATAAAGGTGCCTGCTTCTTGTTCAAAGTGTCAGTGAGAAAGGTGTTTGCATGGCAAAGTTGTAGCTGGCTTGCAAGATATTTACATGCCAGATGTGCTAAAGATTCATATGTCCATTCATGCTTCATTCCAGGAGATGTGTCCATTCTGATTATAGGTTCTGTTCGATAACAGTCCAAAGCAGTACATAATAACACATGTTCATTTTCATCATTTGAGTCAGATGACACCAGCAGATGATTGATTTTCTTTTTTATTGTTTCATGTTCTGTAGTTTCACGTGGGGGTATTACTCTTTTAAGACTTTTGGAAGCATGCTTCACATTTCATCCCTCTCAGATTTTAGAAGGTACTTGAGATTCTTAAATCTTGGGTCGAGCACTATAACCATCCTTACAAATCTCACATTGGTACCTTCTTTGCATTTTGTCAAATCTGCAATGAAAGTGTTCTTAAAATGAGTATGTATAGAGTCATCATCCAAGAGTACTATAACATGAAATACAGGCAGTCCCCGAGTTACGCGGAGCCGACTTACGTCGGATCCGCAGTTACGAACGGGGCCCTCCCTCTCCCTGGTCTCCAGCAGACCAGGGGGATGGGGAGCAAAGCAGAGCAAAGCCACGGAGCCTGAGGACAGCAGGACAGCCACGGCGCGTCTGGGCTGTCCCGCTGCCCCCGTGCTCCGCGGTTTTGCTCCGGACGCCTGTGGTACAGCAGCTGGGGTGCTGCCGGGTTGGTCCAGTAGCGCCGAGGAGCAGCGGCGCTACTGGACCAACCCAGCAGCACCCCAGCTGCTCTGCCCCAGGCGTCCCCAAGTCAGCCGCTGCTGAAACTGATCAGTTTCAGCAGCGGCTGAATCAGGACGCCTGGGGCAGAGCAGCTGGGGTGCTGCCGGGTTGGTCCAGTAGCGCCGAGGAGCAGCGGCGCTACTGGACCAACCCAGCAGCACCCCAGCTGCTCTGCCCCAGGCGTCCCCAAGTCAGCCGCTGCTGAAACTGATCAGTTTCAGCAGCGGCTGAATCAGGACGCCTGGGGCAGAGCAGCTGGGGTGCTGCCGGGTTGGTCCAGTAGCGCCGAGGAGCAGCGGCGCTACTGGACCAACCCAGCAGCACCCCAGCTGCTGTACCACAGGCGTCCGGAGCAAAACCGCGGAGCACGGGGGCAGCGGGACAGCCCAGACGCGCCGTGGCTGTCCTGCTGTCCTCAGGCTCCGTGGCTTTGCTCTGCTTTGCTCCCCATCCCCCTGGTCTGCTGGACCCGAGGGAGAGGGAGGGCCCCGTTCGTAACTGCGGATCCGACGTAAGTCGGCTCCGCGTAACTCGGGGACTGCCTGTATATGGCAGAATATGGGTAAAACAAAGCTGGAGACATATAATTTTTCCCCGAGTTCAGTCACAAATTTAACTAATGCATTATTTTTAACAAGTATCATCATCATGGAATCATATCCTCTGGAATAGTGGCTGAAGCATGAAGTGGGAATATTTAGCATATCTGGAATATAAATACCTTGCAACTCCGGCCACAAGCATGCCATGTGAACACCTGTTCTCACTGTCTGTTGGCATTGGGAATAAGAAGTAGGCACCATTATCTCCCATAAATGTCAACAAATTTGTTTGCATTTAAGATTGGATGAGCAAGAAGTGGGACTGAATAGACTTGCAAGCTCTAAAATTTTGCTCTTTTTTGTTTTGAGTATAATTATGTTACAAAAAATCTACATTTTTTAAGTCATGCTTTTGCAATAAAGAGATTGCACTACAGTACTTCTATGAGAATTGAAAAATACTATTTTTTAATTTTTACAGGGCAAATATTTGTAATAAAAATATTATAAAGTGAGCTCTGCATACTTCAATTCATATTCTGTGTTGTAATTGAAATCAATATATTTGAAAATGTAAAAATCATCAAAAATATTTAATACATTTCAGTTGGTATTCTATTGTTTGACAGTGCCATTAAAACTGTGATTAATCACAATTAATTTTTAAAATTGTAATTATTTTTGAGTTATTTGTGATAAATTAGAAGCCCCACTAGGAACCATAACAAAATATTTTTGTAGTGCATAGAGCCTGAGATGTGGGAAGTCAACTTCATAGTACAGGCCTCTGCTTTTGTCAGACAAATATCTCAAAGCCTGGTTCAGTTTAACATGGCTGTTCATGAATAGCTTCCCAGACACCATCTGCTGCTCAGGGCAGTTTTTCTAGGAGCATGCTGGAGGACTGTCTTGATCCTTGGTGGTATTTGAACTCTATATTACATCCTGGGGCAACTGAAAGGAACTCACCCTGCTATAGCCCACGTGCAGGAGCCAGAGAGGCTAGAAGGACAAAAGGGGCTAAACTTTAAGGCAAGCAGGAAACAATGAGTGCGAAGGATCCTGGTTCCTTAAGCATAAATAACATTTTTGTGACTCCCATTTCATGATTCAGCAGCTCTGATGTCAATTTAC